CGCATTACTCTGAATAATCTTTTACAGCTACAAGGAAGAGAACTATAACATTGGCCTCTCAGTTCTAGGAATGTGTATGTATTGTGTGTCTTAAAGTCATTTCTGACTTACGGCGACCCTAAGGCAAAAACCTATTGCAGGTTTTTTCAGAGGGTGTTTGCCATTGCCATCCTGAGGCTGAGAGAATGTGACTTGCCCAATGTCACCCAGTGGGTTTTCACGGCCCAGCTGGGATTTGAACCCTGGTCTCCCGAGTCCTAGTCCAGTGCACAAACTGTCTAGTGCAAATTTACAAAAAAAACATGGAGGTGGGAAAGATTACTTTCAGAGGGCTGCAGGTTTTTGGACTGTTAACCAGGACTGGTTACAGGGATCATGCCACACAAACACATATGCACACCCATTGAAACAACGTCGCTGGCTGCCAGTCTGTTTCTGGGCAGAATTCAAAGTGCTGGTTTTGATCTTTACAGCACTACATGTTTGGGTCCAGACTATCTGAAATACCGCATCTGGAAGCCAGCTTGAGCTTTAAGATCTGCAGAGGAGGGCTTTCTCTCAGTCCCAACACCTTCGTAGGTCTGGATGGTGAGGACATGAGAGAGAGCCTTCTTATCCGTTCAACCCAATTCTCCATTCAACCCAATTCTCCGTTCAACCCAATTCTGCCATGCCAGAAGACATTATCAAAGCACCTCTGACAGATGGCCATCCAGCTTCTGTTTAAGTCTCTAAAAGAGGAGACTCCACCACTCTCCAAGGGAGTATGTTCCACTATCAGCTCACAGTTGTAAACTGCTTAGACATCCCATGCGCGATATGAAGCGGTATATAAATGAAGCTGCTTTTTGTTTTCCACTATCGAACAGTTCTAATTGTCAGGAAGTTCTTCCTAATGTTAAGGTGGAATCTCTTTTCCTGTAGCTTGAATCCATTCTTCCCGGCCCTATTCTCTGGAGCAGGAGATAATAAGCTTGCTCCATCAAAATATGACACCTCTTCAAATATTTAAACAGAGCTATTATGTCAACCCTTAACCTTCTCTTCCCCAGGCTAAACATACCCAGCTCCCTAAGCTGCTCCTCATAGGACATGGTTTCCAGACCTTGAGTCTCCTTTATCTGAAATTCTGAAATCCAAAATGCACAAAAATTGTCCATAGGGGTGTCTGAGTTAATGACATCTTTGCTTTTTGATGGTTCAGTGTATACCAACTTTGTTTCATGTACAAAATTGTTAAAAAATATGGTGTATAAAATTACCTTCAAGCTATGTGTGTAAGGGGTATATGAAATATAAATGAATTTTGTGTTTAGGTTTGGATCCCAACTCCAAGATATCTCATGTACATCTATGCAAATCGAGTGCCAGTGTGGTGTAGTGGTTTGAGTGTTGGACTACGACTCTGGAGACCAGGGTTTGATTCCCAGCTTGGCCAAAAAACCCATGGGGTGACCATGTGGCCAAGTCACATACTCTCAGCCTCAATGGAAGGCAATGGCAAACGTCATCTTAACAAATCTTGCCAAGAAAACCCCATGATAAGTTCACCTTAGGGTTGCCATAAGTCAGAAATGACTTGAAGGCACACAACAACAAATAACAACAATTCAAATACAGCTATTCCAAAATCCAAAAAAATTCCAAAATCCAAAACACCTCTGGTCCTAAGCATTTTGGATAAGGGACATTTATGAAGTGACTGAATTTTATTTTTTTCAAACATCTTTATTAGTAATTGTATTTTAAATTTGATTTTAATGGTTTTGACCATGTTTTTTTTTAAAAAAACAACAATTCCAATATTTATTTATTTCAAAACTTTTGTAGCATAAAATTTTTACTTTTCTTCTTCTTCTTCTTTTAAAAAAATAATAATTCCTGTAAGCCACCTTGGATCCCATCCCTGGAGAAAGGCAGAGTATAAATCCAATGAATGAATGAATGAATGAATGCTGGCTTAGGGCTTTGGGTGTTGTAGTCCAAAAGAATAATCTCTTCCAAGCTTTACTAAAATACGGACTTTTCTGGAGGTAAAGAAAGAAAGAAAGAAAGAAAAAGAAAAGAGAGAAAGCAAGTAAGCAAGCAAAAGCATTGTGGCTGTTTCTACCTCACTACCTCAAGTCTGTTGGTACTCCAAGCAACCAGCTGCCAAGGCTGTGTGTATCTCCCCCTCCCATGCCCTTCTCCCCCCACCACCACCCCCAGTGCTGGGGGTCTTTTCACTGTGTTTTGGTAGAGATGATGGAGGAGCTGGGTGTGGCAGATGTGTGCCTCCGTTGAGATGCTGCTGACCCCAACAGCACTCGGATGTCCAGGTTGGGAAGCCTTTCTTTCAAGCACCTCCTGTGGAGCAGAACCTCTGTTGTCCTTGGCTTCACTCAGGAGTGCAGCACATGTTCTTGTTTGTAGCAAGCACACACACATACACACAATCATGCACACACTCACACACTGGAGCAAAAGGAGACTCCAGGGTTAAAAGAAATCCAGGCAGCAAAAGTCCCTTTCCAAGGGAGAGAAGGCAAGGATGGCTGACTGGCTCCTTATTGCAAGCGTGCCGTGTTCAAGGCTGATTTGTTAGCATGTAAATAGGAGACCCAGCATGGTGTAGTGGTTTGAATGTTGGACTGGGATTCTGGAGAGCAGGGTTTGAATCCCTGCTTTGCCATGGAAACCCACTGGGTGATCTTGGGCAGGTCACAGTCTCTCAGGCCTTGTTCCCACTAGGATTTAACCCGAATTGCTGATCGGGCTATATGTCCATTGTTCCCACTTGAAACTGGTTTTGATCCTACTGTGCTTGGTTTCAATTGCGATGAAGTGAGGCAAACACAAAATAATTGCTCTTTCCTGACACTAGCTTTTGGGCTGTTCTTTTGAAAAGACCCGAACCGTGTTCAATAAGTGGAAACGACGGGTCTGATTCACTGGGGTGGGGGCTGCACCGGCTCTTGCCAGCTTCTCTCAGTCAGCCCCGGTGCTCTGGTGCCATTCTTGGGGGCGCAGTCATGGGGCACCATCTTGGGTGGCTCCTCTCCTGCGGGGCTCCCCAGCTGCTTCTCCCCAGGTTCCAACAGGCTTAGAGTCACCCCCGGATGGGATGATGAGGAAAAGGAGGCAGAAGAGGGCTCGGGAGTGCTCTGGCTGGGCTCCTCAATTGAGGCAGCTGAGAGTGGGATGGGGCCAGGGGCTTGGAGATGCCCCAGATCAGGGCCTGGGAGTGCTCTCGCCTTTATGGAGTGGCAGCTGGGCTCCCCGGTTGAGGCAGCCAAGAGTGGGTCGGGGCCATGGGCCTGGAGAGGCTTGGATCAGGGCCTGGGAGCACTCTCGCCTTCATGGAGGGGCAGCTGGGCTCCCCAGTTGAAGTAGCCAAGGGTAGGTCTGGGCAAGGAGGAGGAGAGGAAGACAGAGCACCGCTGCTGCCATTGCCACTGCTGCCATAGACAGAGAACATCCCCCAGAGCAGGGGCGGGCAACCTTTCTGAGACCTGGGCCGGTCTCCTGTAGCC